TAGATATAATAAGACACCCAAGTGTCTTGATTACGCGATGACGATAATAATGATGAGATAGTCTAATGCAATAGATCTCGTTAGTTTATGTCTGTGTCTGCTTAATCATCAAACGATAAGAATACATTTTGAACAAATGAATGATGCGAAATGAAAGAAAAATATCAAGATGAATACTTCTATACATTAGTAGTAGTTGTTTTAAAAATAAAAAGAAAGACCTTTTTGTCCAATTTGTCTATCATGATTAATCATTCAGACAACGGATGTGGTTAAGATTTTTATTCTTTGATTGTCTTGCACATAATAATTGTCGTTTATTCGATTACTATTATTCAAATGATGGGTGACAGAGTACATTCTTACATTAATAATCGTCTTACTCTGGCAGCAGATGTCATATAAAAAACATGTTTTTCATTTTTATCATCAATAGATGAATGGCACTTTCTTTATTTGCACTTGTCAGTTTCAGTTCTACACAAGTATAAAGTAAAATAATGCGTCCTTGAACAGAAAAAGATATCGAACTGTTTATTGAGAATTTAATTAAAAGAAAAACTAATCACTAAAATAAATTCTATGAGTCAATAAAAATATCCAAGTCTATGTTTATCATTACTAGCTTACCTTAATTAACTTGTATCAAATTTAAATGGCTAAATAATATCAGACTTCAGATATGTTTATCAATTTATGTCTAGTCACTTGATGAGAATGATAATATTCATCAGTGTCAATTAATAATATCCAGAATATGTTTTTAATATTCTTTTAATTTTGAATTGTCTATTGAAAAGGAATTTTTTATAAAATTTTTTTCAAGCTAATCAAAGATTGGAACTTTTTAATAATTAACAATAAGTACAAGGAAAATAAAATATGGCATATAACATCCAAATGATTTCATACTAATAATTGACGTTGATGTCAATGATAGTTTTTTTATTATATATTCATCGATCTTTTTGTTTGATAAATTGCATTTTTCTTATCATGGATGTTCCGACCTGGGAGCCTGTGTCATCTTCTAATCAAGAAAACTTTTTGTTTTTCTCCCAGCGAAGCCGAAAATTTGCCCTGTGTTCCTTTAACAAAAAACTCTTTACATCCTCTGAATATTATCTGTCTCAGTCAAGCTCTATAACACTCTTCATAAACATAGAGAGTATCACTAATCAGTATGAATCTATGAATAAGTGAAAAACAAGTCTTTTATCTTTATATTATGACAAATAAAAAATGATCAGCTTTTTTTACTATTAATTGCCAAAATATCTATTGTTATTATGCATCTATGATCTTGTTAATTCTATATTCATGCATAATTTAAGATTGCATCAATGTCTCATGATCCTATATACAATTTGAACAATCTAAAGTAAAAGAACAGATGTGTCACATATGCCATTGAGTAGACACAGACGTTATTTTCCTTCTCAATTGACCGAGCAATTAACAACAACTAATGTACATTGATACGATCTTATTCTTTTCTTTCTTTCTCAAGTTATTGACGGCAGACAGATCGACATATAAAATGAAAGTGTTATAATTTTATATCAACAATAATAATGACTACTTTTCTCATCTTGCATTACTTTCACGCGTTTTATATATACATAATAATGTTGTTCATTGTATATAGACATGCTACTGTTAAAAACTACCATATCAGTGCAATTTATAACGTCATATCGTCAAAATTATTATAATTGTAATTTAAATTCGATCAAATATATGTTAGAATAATTGAGCATAACTGTTTATACTCATAATGAAAATAAATTGAACAATAAATGTTTTAGAAAACTATTAAAGATAGAAATGATAATCGACAGATTCTTTTTGATTGTTTGTTTATCGAGATCTTTATTGAAAATTGTAACTATTCGTTTAACATTGAGTACGATTTATAATATATATTTAATAAAAAACTTGTTAAAGTTAACAATAATAAACAAGATCAAAGTGAAAAATATGTAATAGATAGAATGTTTCAAAAGTCGTCTACTAAAAAAATTTGAGTACTTCTATTTGACTTTAACTAAAATAGTAATTCTTTTGTTTGATGATGAAGGAAAGATTTCACTTTTTATTCTCGTGAAGTAAGTTTACAATTAATATTTATGGTCATTCATTTCAAAGAAAATTGTGAAACCTTATACACAGACTGATCCAAAAGTGTAGAAACACAGAATTTTTTCGATTTCTTCGTACATGGTCACTTAGGCCTCATATTTATACAACATATACTAGATGATATTACGTAGTAAAAGATACAGCATATGCTTTGCATTTGAGTAGAATAATTTATTCAAAAGTGTACAAATAAAACTTACTGCTTGTCTTTGATTGTTTTTGATGTTTTTCGAGTTTCATAGTTTTATCTAGATATCCCGATCTCTGAGATGAACCCGATTTCATTATATTTTATACTGATTTAGATTAAAAGAGATCAAAATTAATTAAATGTGACTCATGTCACAGATCGATATAAACGAACGAACAGTAAGGTAGATTAGTACATTTTTGAACGAATTATTGTATTCAAAGATTGATCAAATGTTACATCGTCTACTATGTTATATCAACTAATTAGTATATATTGTATGAATATGAGATCTAACTAATCACGTAAAAAGACGAAGTCAAAAAAATTTCGTATCTTTTTACTTTTAAGTAATGCTGCATGCAGAAAAAACAGTAGTCAAAGATCTTGAAATTTTCTACACCTACTAATTTAAGTAGAAACTTTATACGAGTTAAGGTTTAGGCCAGAATCTGATAATTAAATTTTATGGAAAATATAAGGGCTTCTTGAAGAAAGCAGCAGACTCGGACTTCTACTACGAGTTTGTTGATACCAATAGATTTTTTCGAATACTTTTTCATTGAAACTCAGAAAAAGTTCGTCCTGTGGCTCCTTAAATTCTACGGAAGTAAATTCAATAGAAATTCAATAACTTCGCTAATACGTAACAACAACACGAATTCTTCAGAACTTGTTCGAGTCAAGTAGTCGTTTACTAATGAGCAAAATAGAAACTCAAAAGTCTTTAGTCATCTGCGACTCTTTTTCATAAATATTTATGTGGATCAGATAAAAAAAAGTTCATTTTTGTATAGCAGTCAAGAATAACAGCTTTGAATATTATTGCAACTCTTTTTTAGTACGTGACTTTTGGAGCATCTTGTGTATATAAATTGTATTGTTGAATTTGCCATCTGTTAAAGCTCACAGAGAATTATTACTAGACATTTCTATGCGGAAGAAGATATGTATTAAAAGAACAATGCTTATTGTCTTATTATATTTTCAAAATAACTCTTGTGAAAACTCATTGATCTATTCTATCTATGTCATCAAATCGATGCATCTGTTGATAAGATTGATGGTAAAGACTGACGAACAATACATGATTAGTGTAGACTTTATTGTTATGTCTTCTTAGTCGACACCAGAAGATATTATCAATTAGGTCGAAATTGCAAAATTTACGAAGTTCTATAGAATCAAATGATTTTTATTCTATACTGAACCTTATTTGATGAATAATTCGAATTGAATTTGATTGAATATCATCAATAATTAAACTAATATTTTGTTATCGTAATTTAGATAATATTCTCATAATAAGTTATAAGTTGAATTGGCTGGATAAACTATAAACTTTGTCCATCGAAGCTTCAATTTAAATTTTCGTGTATTCACAATTTCTATTTCATTCAGTTAATTCTAGACGATTTGCATCATTTAATTTGAAAGTAAAACATACAGCATTTATTTAGATTATCGTGATTGATTATTTCTGTTAAACATTTCTCATACCAGCGAAGAAAGAATGTTTCAAAACATTAAATCTGTATAGTAAAATTCTTCGCAAATGCACGCTGTCAGAACGTTTAACAAGTATTCATCTATGAAGTTTCATTATATATGTAGGGTGTCGAAAATACAAAATCAAGGCATAGTTTTTAGGAGAAAAACTTCAGTTTTTGCTGATGACCTATCTTTTCTGACACCGAGGACAATTTTTGATAAATGACAAAATGTCAATAGGTTTTCATGGGTTCAAATTTCAAAACTATTTGTTTCAGGTTCATCATGACAAACTGTATCTAGAAAAGTCACTTATAAACAACATTCCTAGATTCAGTTTTTCACACTGAATCTGAAACAAACAGTTTAAAAATTTGAGGCAATGAAAAACTATTGATATTTTATCATTTATTGCAAATTATCCTCTATGTCAGAAAAATAGATCATTAGAAAAAATTGAATCTGTTTCTTGACGCTAATCTCAAAAGAAAAAATGACACTAATATTCTTGATAAGCTCGTCATACTCTATTTAACCGTATATATATATATTTTTTTATTTTTGCACTTGTAGCACCTTTACTAGAACGCTGATCGATTAGTAAGGTGTTTTATGATGTATGCATTATGAATATCCCTTCTATTAATCATCATTGTCAATATAATTGTCTTTTAATATATATTGACATACGCTTAGATTAATGACAGTCACTTAATCTTGGTTCGCAATTATATATTAGCTTTTAATAAACAAAAGCAAGCTTGTCATGATGAAATTTCTTTTTGTGTATTATGTCCAATGAAATATTCCTTTTCTTTTTGAATTTCTGTGTTATCATCAGTTTCAGGTAATTTTTTATTTTTTCATGTACTATATTTGACATACATAATAGTGCTGCGCATGGATGTTTAATCACATGTCAGTTTTTTTTTATGTCGTGATTTATTATTTTGTTTAGAGATTGTTTTCTCCCATTGTACGGTTCGATGATTATAGTTATAATCAAATGGTTATTTTATGCGGATAAAATAAATAAAGTTAAAGTAAGAAATACCATGCATACCGAGTAGCCTATATATTATAACAATGAATGACTTAATTAGATGACATTTATAGTTTTAGTTTTCTTGTATTAAAATAGATATTTTGTTTTTCTTTTTAAGATAAACATATACAAATGGAACATATACATTGGATTGAAAAATCAATTGAATTTCAAAATCTAATAGATGATCCGACTATACATAAACCCACACTTGGTAAAGTCTAATTCTTATAATTAACGATAAAAGATTTCTTTATTCATTTTGTTTTTTGTCTAGTTCAAAGTGGTGATCAACCATTTATTGTTGGAGTGAAAATCAATGGACAGTTTATTATGGCATCACCATGTAAAGTACATAAGGATCGATTTATTCCAATGGAACAAGAAATTGTCTTATCAAGCAAACATAAAGGTGGTTTTTATTAGACAAATATAATATAAGAAAGACAAGGAAGTGATTGATTTGCTTTTTTTCCTCATTTAGGTTTATGGAAAGTAATATCGAAAGTAACATCAGAAAAAGTAGAACGTATACATCGTTTAACTACAAAAGATATTGAAAGAATCTATAGACAAGGTATTAAAAACCAGCGTATAACACCTCGTTCATATATTTGTACAAAAGAGATAGAAGCGTTTGATCTTATATTTCATCGTAATGGTATTGTTATATTATATTATTTCTTTTGTTTTTCTTATTTATTTTATTAAGATCCAACTGTTTTTGAGGGACAACGAATTGTTCGACAAATGAAACGTATCGAAAAAAATATTCAATTTGAAATATGTGACGTTGGTGAAATTCAGTATACACCAACAGAAAGTGAACGAACATCACAAGATTATGTAACGGTACCAAGAAGCAAATCACGTCTACTTCTTGCCTTACTTACAGCGACTAATTATAATGAAGAAAAATTAATTCGAAATCGTGTTTTACGTTCATTATATTGTGTAACAAAAAATGAATCTGATCCACGTCATTTTTTTCTTGAAGTCAATCAAAAACCATGTGATATACATCCAATAGCTTCTGAAGGATCGTCAGAATTACGTTGTCTTCATTCTACACAAAATCTATTTAATTATATCTCAAATCACCAAAATAATACTTTTCTTTTTGTTAAATTACTTCGAGGTAATAAAGAAATAATATCAGTTCGTTACCAACATAAAAATAACCATCATTTTTTTGTTAATTTAGGTAAGATACCAATAAAAGCAATTGAGTCTTACGGTTACATGTTATTAAAAAACGTTTTAATTGGTGATTTAGTTCCTATGTGTCGTATTACAGATTATACCATGTTTCTTGTTAATCCAGATCTTCCGGTTAGAGTTAAATTACCAACATATGAATATAAATGGCATTCATTATTTGATATTCGTAAAGCTGAACTTAAATGTATGCAATTATCACTTACATTAGTTTCTCAAGATGAATCAGAAATCTATGTTATAGTTGGAGATGAAAAAGTTATGGCGAATTATTTTAGCTCAGATAGTAATCAACAACAACAATTATTTATTACACAAAGACCATTAGATAAAAATGAAAAATATGTTGATGAAATTGAAATTATGCGTTATAGTCAAATGCTGAAGTCTAAGAATGAAAATAATATTCGCGTACAACTACAATCAACAAAAAATTTTTCAAATGATAATAACATCATTTCCAATCAACAAACAATAAAATTACCAAAATCAATACCACTTCCTCATTTAACATCAGATAAAGTTAAACAAAATCATAATAAGCAATTAAAAGAAAATGGTTTGAAAACTAAACGACGTCATTCAAAAAAAGATGGAAAACCTGTTCAAGTTAAAGAATAAATTTTTCAAGATAAATTAAATTTATTCTCATCATTATCTTCTTCGACTTTGAACAAACAAACATAAAAAAAATGGTGACCGATCAATTCGTCGCACGACAATTCGTCGCGCACAATTAGTCGCACGACAATTCGTCGCAAAACAATTCGTTGCACATGTATTGTAGAGAATACATTGACTGAATTAAGTGATTTAGTTTAGAATGTTATCTAATTAATCGCCTAAACAAAAATTTTTCTTTAGACTCTTTGGAGTCTTTTTCAGAATACAATGGTTCTTCAAAAATAAAATGGAGATATCAATTTAAAGTCTATTTTAAAATTTAATCTAAAAAAATTAAAGTTTGATTTTAAATAAAATTATATGTAGACAAATTAAAAATAAATTTCATTTTTCTTTCATTAAGGGGTCAAACACACAAGAAAAATTAAAACTGAATTAAGAACCGTGATTGATTAATTCAGATTTAAATCATCTTTTTAACACGAATTCGTGGTTAATTCAGTTTTAATTTTTCTAGTTTGTTTGACCCCTAAAATTCATGTTTTCAGTAAATAAAAAACTTTATTTTTTTTAATTTAGATTTGTAAGATTTGTTTTCAATTTAATATTTTTGTTTTAATTTTCAGCGTTTTTTAAATAAAAAGTTAAATTTCAATTCGAAAAAATGAGTTGTATTTTTTATTTATCTACATAGAATTTTATTTAAAATCAAATTTTAATTTTTTTAAATTAAATTTTAAAATAGACTTTAAATTGATATCTCTATTCTATTTTTGAAAAACCATTGTATTCTGAAAAAGACTCCAAAGAGACTAAAGAAAAATTTTTGTTTAGGCGATTAATTAGATAACATTCTAAACTAAATCACTTAATTCAATCAATGTATTCTCTACAATACATGTGCAACGAATTGTTTTGCGACGAATTGTCGTGCGACGAATTGATCGTGCGACGAATTGATTGCGACGAATTGTCGTGCGACGAATTGTACTAGTACCAAAAAAATTGCTATTTCGTTAAAAGAAAAAAAAATCGAAAATTGTAAAAGAAATTTTTCTTTTCATTGTTTTTTGTATAAAATACATTTTTTTGTTGCTGATCAAATATTGTTGTTTACAACGATATGTGCGCAATCAAAAACATTTAAAAGTACAATAGGCGTTTAAATGAAAAAAAACGGTGCGTTTGTGTAAACATTATACTACTTGAGCGGCCGTCCTTGGCATACACCGTCAAAATCGAAAAAGGTAAAGAAAAAAAATACGTAAAATTTAAAAGTACCCAGAGCAAAACAAAAGATTGAATATCGATTTTTTTAATGATGGCGGAAAAAATAGTAATAGTTTGTTTGCTTTTCATCCTTGCATGATGAGTTTCCATTAAAATATGTGTTTAAAACTTTCACTAAGTGAAATCAATAACGCACATTAAATTTCTGATGCTACAAAAAAAAAATACATTATATACTCCTTCTATTTCTTTCTTTTCATTAATGTAGATAAACGGTGAGAAATAGCCACTGAATCAAATATCGTCGCCATTTTCATTGTAACTTATTTGAATTTTCACCATGCCTCGTAGTATCATCGCAAATCCTTGGCAGTAAGTTCACTTTAATTCTACGTAGAATAGAATAAAATAAGATTAGTTTTTGTTGGTTTATTTAAGAATTGACGGTTCAGATAGTGAAGAAGAAATTAATAATCAGTATAACTTGAATACATCGTTTTCATCAAAGCCATCAGTACCAATAGTAAATTCAAAATATATATTTTTTTTCGTTTCATCTTGTATTCAATTTTAAGGCTTTATCACGGCGAAGTGAACCGAAAATTCTCGATTGGCATCCGATAGTAAATGAAAACAAACCTAAAGGTACGATCGAAAAGTTGTCTTATTATTGTATTGATTAGTATGGTATTAAATATAGGTAAATTAGGTGGAAAAAAAACAGTTCCATTACTTGAAAAAGCAACATCATTTCATAAACCACTCTTCTCTGGACTATTAAATAGACGATCATCATTATCATCATCTCGTTCAATCTTACGATCAAAAGGCCAAAATAAAATGGTAACTATTAATATTTCTAAAACTCCTTGTATTCATATAAATAGTTTGATATTTTTTTTGAACATACTTTGTGTTTATTAAATATTTAGTTAGTTCCTCTAACTGCAATGCCAAGCTTTGATCCAATATTATGCGTCGAAGAAGATTCAAAGAAATTCATTTATACATATATTCCACCAGATTATTCAACATTTATTCATTGTTATCTTCGACGTGATAAAAGTAGCATACAAAAAGAATTTTTTCCAACATATTATTTACATATGGAACGTCCTGATGATGACAAAAAAGTTTGTATTTAAAGTTGAGAAGGCAAACAACACATTGTGTTAATCTTTCTTTTTTTAAGATTTTTCTCTTAGCTGCACGAAAAGTTCCTAAAGTAAATCAACAATCGCAATATATAATTACAACTCAAATTGAAACTCTACATGAAAAATCAGGTGGTGATGGATATGTTGGAAGATTACAAGAAACTAATATGAAGGGTACAGAATATACACTCTATGATGATGGTATGAGCCCGAGTAAATATAAAAAATCACATTCAAATGATAAAAATGGTTTACGACGTGAATTAATATCTATAATTTACGTAAGTATGAAATGACGTAAATTCAATGACTGCAACAAAACTAAAACCAACTTCCAGACGTTCCGTTGAAGCTTTTGAGAAAAGATTTTATTTAATAGAGCAAAATGAGACTTCTCCAATGTCTTCATGATTTTCTGTCATCGAACTATATTCAATTTACAGAAAGTCTCAGACACATTTTCCAATTAAAAATTTTAATGTTTTTACCATGTTTGACGCTTGGGAGTATTCTAAAAATTGAATGCAGTTCGATGAAGAAGGATCATGAAAAGTTCTGAGACGTTTCATTCTGCTTAGAATTATCAAATCCATCAAATAAAATCTTTTTTTCAAAAGCTTCAAATGAAAACTAGAAAGCCAGTTTTAAAAGTCTTGATTTTCCACAGATTCTCATCCAAACATTTGTGCTGAAGCCTTCAATCCTACTTAACTTAAAAATACAGTTGAAGTAAATTTCTATCCGGCACCATATAAATGTATAAGGGGAAGTGAGATATACTCATATTTTATAGGAGAAAGTTCAACTTTCGACTTGGCACAGATATGAAGTGCTATATAATTCTTTTTTCATATGCCAGAATAAAAATTTACCGAAAGTAATCGCCAAAATCAAACTGACTTTAAAAACTTCAATAAATTTTCTCTATAGTTTTTTGCATGAAATGTTTACTTTGACTTGAGTAGCAATGAAAGAATATTAACTATCTAAAGCGAAATTCTTCACTATCCCAATAATGCAAAAAGAATCCTATCTAGAAACTTTTCAGTGCATATCATAATATTTCAAAGTAATTTCTATGCATCTCTTTTATCCTTCATCACTTATTTTCATGTAGAAGCTTTTATTGACATGAAACACTATTATTCATTTAAGTTTAGAACCTAAATCAGTTTCTTTATAAATTCTATTGTAATAACAAAAGACTAATTAATTTCTGTTTTCTAGAGCACGAATGTTCTTGGTTTCAAAGGTCCACGACAAATCAATGCTGTTATACCTCAAATCGACTATGATATTCGACCAACAAAAGTAAATTATATAAAATTTTTTATACAATAGAAATTTTCTCATATAAATCTCAGGATGAAGATACAATTCTTGATCAATGGCGAGATAGACGATTTACTTATTTAATTCAATTAAGAAATCGAACGCCACAACGGATTGATGGTAAAATAAAATATTTTTTTTGTTTTATTTATTTTAACGTTTAATTCATCATTTTTCTTTTCTATCTAATTCATCAAGGAAGAAAAGGTCATGTACTTGAATTTGATAGTCATCATAATATTCAAGCATCAGTTAAAAATTTTCAAATGGTTGTAGACAATGAAAATCGTAAGTTAGATATTTATATATTCTAGTAAATCTATTTATATTTTTTTTTTGTATTTATATAGTTGAAGAAGAAGTCGTTATGCAATTTGGTCGTATTACAGATGATACATTTCTGTTAGACTATCGTTATCCACTTTCAGCTATTCAAGCTTTTAGTATTGCTCTTAGTGCATTCGATAGTCACTTTACACGAGAATAAACATAGCTTTTCTTTTTTTCTTTCATACATTGATATTTGAAGTACTAAAAAGAGTTTTTTGTATTCTAATGTATATATTTACATAATTTCGCCTTATTTTTAATACTTCAGTAAAAATAAAAAATAGATAATAAAATTTTTTCATTTGAGAAAAATTGATTTTTAGATTAATGATATAATGAAATCTTTGAAGCATTTACTGGACATGATATAAAAGACTTTTAATGATTGATTATCTTTGAACATGCAAACGCTATCACTAATTTATAGAAAGAAAAGTTTTCGAAGTCGGAATTGAAAAACTGTTTTTCTGCGTAGGCCTCAATCTGTTACTGGTATATCACAAGATCTTGTTTGAGTACTTGATGGAGAATTTTCAGATGAAGAAAATCCTCTAATGAATATTTGTAGACACAAATGAGCTATGAATATGCTGAAAAGAATTTACGCCCGTGGATTATTACTGCGGAGATGCTACACATTTGCAGTATTTGTTTAAACGAATACCATGGTCCTTCTCAGAAATACGAGAAAAATTGATTTTCGAATTTTGACTTGAAACCTTACACAAAAACAGACATTAACGAGAGTAGGTACAGATCTTTTGATTTGCTTCTATTCTGAAATAAGAACGTAAAATCTACCGTTTCATATGAGCAATATAAAAGACTAGCTATTATCTTACTATAGAAAACAGCGACAAGATCTGAAATATTCATAAAAATTTATTCTTATTAAGGTCTGTCTTCAATGTAAAATTTTCAGTCAAAATTCGAAATTCTTTTTTTTTCAGATGTTCTTGAAAAGCGTAGTGTCTCCGCTGAAAAAAAAGTAACTGATCATTTGCAGGACTTCCCTCGTCAGTACACAGGTATCTGTCTAGTTTCTACAGCATTTCATAGTAAAATACTAAAAACCTATAAAGTATCCAAAGGCTCTGGTGACATATTCGTAGTAGAGAACCTCAGCTCAGCTTATTCACAAGGGGTTTAACAAGAAAGAAAAAAAATTAATTTCTAACGGACAGAAATTATTGCAATGATTATGTTCAATTCAAGTTTTTATTTTAGACTAGAAAAAGAAAACACAAATTGAAACTTTATTTTATTGAATAAACAAATAAAAAAATGCTTACTGGGGGCAATAGACAGGAAAGGTTCTATATGATTGCTTTTGAAAGAATACAGTTTAGAAAAAGAGAATATTAATGAAAGTTGAAATGCATGATAGATAATGATATCTAATATACAAAAAAAAGAGAAGATTTCAATCTAGACATACATTTATAAAGAAATTTAATGATAACATCTCGTGTGATACTACAACTAATTGATCAATGAATTTGTCATAATGAGTATTTGAATTCGACAATTAAATGTTCTCAATCTTTTTTAGTCTAGAATTCATTTAATAACTAATTAAGAAAGACATTTTAAAACTAATGTTCCTTGAAAAAATTTCAATATATTCTAATTTTATTATATGTCGTTTAATAAATTTTGTTCGTATTTTACATAAAATCTCATTTAAATACATTCCAAATGATAAATCTGATCAAATCAAATATTTACTTTTTTTTTTCTATATTAAAATTCGATTAATATGCAATAAAACTAGATGATAGAATTACGTCATATATTTCACCCGTTTAATCAACCATACATATCATTTTCATAATGAATTACATCATTAACACATCAACAATTTATAAGCATCTGTTATAGATATTTTTCCCTTATTACTCATAACTAATAAAATTAATCATTCATTATGTTATTTCAATGTATCCAAAAATAAAGTAGTTTTGAATAATAGGTATTGATATAAAAAAAAAACAAGGTAGCTCTTTCTTATTGTCTTGTAGCTCCCTCTTTCGTCTGTGTTTTTTTATAAAAAATATTTTCTCCAATAAACAAAGAAAAAAAAAAGAAATGTAACAAATATATGAATGATTCAATACTAAATATGTTTGTCTTAACTATTTTGTTTATCACATGATAATGTTTTTTTTGTTTGGGTCGCTATTGACGTTCAAAAACATTATTCATATTCATATAATTACGAATAATCAAGTTTTTCTTTTTGTTACATCATATCAATGCATTCAATGATACTGTTTTTTTTTTCTTTCTATATTAAATCGATGAATATTCATTGAAATCATTTTGACATGTATAGACATGTATAGATATGTATATACGTTCAATATGATCTTATCATCCGTAGACATTCATTGAGAGAGAAAGAGCGAGAAAAAAAAGAAAGAGACATGTCAGCATGTATATATCTTTTTGATCATACAATATATTTCACTCGCGAAGAGATGAGTTAAGCATATATCAATCATTTATTGTAGATGGCTGCAATTAATGTATATCATACAAGTGTAACAACAGACAATCTTAGTCGTAATGATATTCTACAATGGATAAATTCAGCACTTGATGCTAATTATACAAAAATTGAAGATCTTTGTACCGGTAATTTAATTTAGACGTTTTTTTTTTTTTGCGTATTAAACTAAATCGAATAATTTACTTGATTAGGTGCTGCATATTGTCAATTTATGGAAATGATGTTTCCAGGTAAATTTATTTATTATATGCATGTATTAGATCTAACAATTAGTGAATACTTACATAATATTTTTTTTCTAGGCTCTATAGGTGCACGATCAAAACGGGTCAAATGGAATACCAAACTTGAGCATGAATATATTAATAATTTTAAAGTTTTACAAGAATATTTTAAAGCACTTTCCGTAGACAAGGTAGAATTTAATTTTTTGTTTTTGTAGATATAATACACACATACGCATACATATATTTGATCTCTCTTTTTTTTGGTGATTGATGCTTTGCTCATAGTTTTAGTTTAGAAAAAAAAGAAGTATTTAAATTTTTTCTTATAGGTTCATTACAATTAAAAAGAGTGAAATTCAATGCCAAATTAGAACATGAAAATATACAAAATTTTAAAATTTTACAAAATGCATTTCGTGCTGTACAAGTAGATAAGGTGTGCATAAGAAAAGAAAAACAAATAAAGAAGAGAGATTCTGTGTATATATGTGTTTGTGTTAGATAATTTTCTTTTTTTTCTTTGGTTTAAATTTAAAAAACAAAACAAATGATAATTTTTATGTAGATTGTACCTGTCGAAAAATTGGTTAAAGGAAAATTTCAGGATAATTTTGAATTTGTTCAATGGTTTAAAAAATTCTTTGATGCGAATTACACAGATCCTCATGATTATGATCCTGTAGCTGCTCGTGATGGACAGTAAGTTAAAAAGATTCTTTTGTATATCAGATTTTATAGAAATATAACTTTACTTCTCTTATTTAGACCATTAGGTAGTGGTACGAAAGCTCTCGGTCCAGGTGCAACAAGTGGTTCGTCAGGCACTCGTGCACCACCTGCTGTTGCTGCTCGACCACCACCAACAAAGACTGTTGCTCCACCAATAGCACGACCAACAACTACAAGTGAGTATTTATTCAAAACAACCAAATGAAAAATTTAATCATTTATAAATTCAAATAAATTAGTTCTTGTCTCATCTCATACAATAGTCGCAAAAAAAGTTACCTAAATTTTAATTCTTTAGTTTCATAGTTTGATCATAAGTAGAGTATTTTGAACTCTAATGGGAAGAACTCATCAAAAGTTGATTGATCTCTATATAGTGAAGCTAGAGAGTGAACATAAAAAATAAATCTCATGACGTTAAATGTAGTAAGCTTTGGATAAACTCGACATAGGAATTGATGGCAATCGTCAAAAATTGACAAATATCTTGAAACGAATTTGAATCATTAGTCTTGCAACTTTTTCCAATGAGTGTCATACTCTAATCAAACTTTCTCTGAAAATTTCACGATCATAGCCATCGGTGAGAGTAAAACAAACATCGTACATCCTTTACATTAAGGATACTGTCTTCCGTTTTAGACTATTTCTGGTTCTTTGTGAGATTACTATCGGTTGCACTCAAATTTTCACTACTGCTAGATTATCAAAAATGATGAAATCAATGTTCGAAAAAAAAACATTTTAAGAGCAAATCTGCAAAAACTATCTCGTTTGCTCACGAACATATCCTTACTTTGGTCAATTGGACAGAAATCTTTTCTGAAGGTATATAGAACAAAGTATCAGAGATGTTTTTAAGCTTTTTGAAAAATATCAATTTTTCTATTTTTAATTAAAAAAACCTAGGAACGTTCAATCCAATAGGACTAAGTAAGACCGGGGTCGTAGGCAGACCCGATGGCTTTTGAAGATCAGCTTTTAAAATTTTTTTCTCGAGGTTTTGGTCTATCACTTTTCATAACTTAGCGATGATAAAAATCTAAGTCCAATCTGATATACTCTTGTCGAAAAACAGAAATGATTCAACATAAAGGAGAGTATCCTTAAGAGTTTATCAATCTTAGATTGATTCTGACAATCCGAATTTACTGAGCTCTATTTGTAGACCAATTATCAGACAGAAGAATTGAAGTAGATATACTTTTTACTCGGTAGTGAGGCTTTTTGTGACTAATGAAAAAAAATTTTTTCGTTATTTTAGCAAAACCCATTCAACAACAACAGCCAAAAATTTCTCCTGCTGCTCATCGAGCACCAGCACCACCCGTACAACAACCTCCAGTTGCTAATGATCATCATCAAAATACACGAGTACATCAACCTACAGCTGGTAGTGATCATCATCATCAAAATGCACGATTACAACAAGAAGTAAAATTTTTATTTAATAGAATTAATCTAAAATATAATTTTGACTAGATTGATCATTTACAAGATCTTATTCAACAACATGCTTCTCAAATAGCTGGTTTAGAAAAAGAACGTGATTTTTATTATCAAAAATTACGTGATGTTGAAATGATCTGTCAAGAACCAGAATATGAATCATCGCAACCAATACAAAAAGTTCTTGAAATACTTTATGCTACGGAGGTATGTAGAAGAATATTTGAATTAATTACATTTGTTTTTTTTTGATCAAATATATATATATATGAATCTTAAATTATCAATATATATATTTAAAGGAAGGTTTTGAGATCCCTGATGAAAACGAACATCAACAAAATGTCCAACAAGAATTTTAAGAAAAAAAAAAGAGGGGTGTGTTGATATACATGTTTGTTTGTGTGCGTGTGTTTTTTTTCGGTATTCGTTACTTCTCTGCTTTGCATTGTTTTCTATAAATGAAATTAAATAAAAAACTATTTATTAACAAGATTATTTATTAATTTTAGGAAGGTTTTGCGCAACCTGATCAAGAAAATGCTAATGGTGATTTCGATAATGGAGACGGTCTTACTGTTAATAATGGTAATGGTTCTGCTTTTGTCGGTGGTGATGATGAGACATATTAAAACAACAACAACGTTGCTGTTTGAGCGTTTTTGTCTTTTTTCCTATTATTTGCATTCATATCCTTCATGATTTTTTCTTCTTCTTCTTTTTTTAAGTTCATTTCTTCTTTTTTTTTCTTATTGTATGGTGTAATCATACTCAATTTTTAATATTTTGCTTGTTTCTTTTTCTCGACGAAATACATACGCGCATTTTCCTTCCTCTCGAATATTTGTATCTTGATGTATGTGCATGTGTGTATGCAAATTAATACTACCAAATAAGAATATGTTTATTAAATTTTGACAATAATGAATGAATTCTTTTTCAATTCATTTGATTTTTTTTTTCGATATATTTTATTAATGGTGTAATAGATGAAAAATTTGACATAGAAGAAAGTTTAGGTTGCGATTGATGAACTTCTTAGAATTGCTGATCTATATTAAAAATTTATTAAATTAAATTAGATCGTAATTATGGTATGAATAGATGTATATTCTATTTTATAGTGGTTTATAATTATTGTCGAAGGTTTTTGTATGATCGAGTGATATAGTAAAAAAATGTGTTCGTTTACGTAATTGAATTGCATAATTGAATAAGATTTTCTTGCCGAGTTAATAATGCAAATCGTCACAATTTATAAATTATTTTTACGCATTTACACTTATATTAATACAATTTAGATCTCAAAGTTTGCAAAGTCAAAGATATCATTTTACTGTAAAGTCTCTTTCCGTAATAGAAGATTCTCGTAAATTAAATAATTAATCTGACAATTAGAACTTTAATTATTGTATTTATATCATAATTTGCTTAGTTTTCTAGACTTTAAGCTAAAAAACTGTACAAAACTGATGTCAATATCATTTCTAGCCTTTTAAAACTCTAAAAAAATATTTTTCTAAAATCTCCAAATATTTTTTTGGTTGTTTTTTGAAAAACTTCCCGGGTCTTCTATTACAGGGAATTATTTATAGAATTTCATGAAAATTCAATCTTATGTTTCAAAATAATTGAAAAACAATATGAAAAATGTCATGATTAAATTCCTATATATTTAAATAAAAGTAACTTCAAATTAAAAAAAATTAATAAGAAATTTGAAAATCTTTGACTATTTTTGTTTCAAATAGTATATCGAATAATTCATTATTTTTTGTTATGAAAAGAAAAATGTATATATTTATTTGTCATCAGAAGAATTGTATTCTGTATATGTATTTTTAAAAAAATCATATCAAAATTTACAATGAATCACAAAATTAACTTTCTTGTGATGTCGACGGTTGTGTGTATCGAATAGTTCGATGATGATATCGTCGTTTTTCTTTTTCATTTGATAATATAGAACGATTTTGTGATGCTGAACGCATTCTATTTAATTTCCATGCTAAACTAAATCGACTACTTAAACTTGTTTTATCACTCCAACCAACACTACTCTTTCTACTATGTGTAACAGAAAGATTATCATCAATAAATGGTATTGGTTCATCATCATGAAGACGTTCTTTCATAATTGTTTCAATATTACTATTAAAATATGATGTATGACTTGTTGGACAATGATAATAAGGTGTTGTTGGTGGAGATAAATTTCCTATAAAATTTGTATTTAATATTTGTGAACTAACTGCTTCATTGTTAGGTGAAGATAAATTCTGTTCATCATCTTCATTAGCTATTTGTTGTACAGGATATGAAATTAGAAAACTAAAATCAAAGGAAAATTTTTTAATTTTTTTTGAAAAATATTTATTTTAATTTACCTATCATCGTTTTTAGTTGAAATATTTTTTGTAGATTTTTTTATACGTTTATTTTTAGTTATCTTCTTTGTTGATTGAGAGCTAAAATATGAACAAGTTTTTGCATCAAATATGTTGAGAAAAATGAAAAATGAGCTTTATCATCATTTGTATGAATATTAATTATGGAAAGATAATTAAAAAATAACATTTATAATTAACCAACATATGTTCAAATCATTATGACCTTTTAGAAAAAGAAGAAGAAAAGAAACACTTACGTTCTTCTCATAAAAATAGTAATTAACATAAGAACAACAACGATAAGCACAATTAAAGCAAGTAAACAAACACCATATAACCAAATTGAATCTAATGAATTTTGTTCTAAAATATTTGATGGTAAATTAATCTAAAATAATAAAGAATACATTTAAGGTATTTCTTTTTTTTTTTATCGATGTTTGAATTAATTATACATGATGTTGTATATCTTCATAAATTTCTTGTTGATTATCTTTAAGTGCAAGTAAAAATTGATCATTTGTTAGAGCTACTGTTTGACGATACGGATCTTTAATAAATATTGATACATATAAATGATGATTATCTAATTGTTCTTCATAACTTTGTATTATAACATGATCAGTTCTACAGTTTAAAAACGAAAAAATTTCAATTGAGAAATTAATTAGAAAAATACCTAATCGAATCTGTATCTTCACTTAAACAATGTTCTTGATATTTTAAACAAAATTTACGTATAACTTTTGCTATACTTTGACGTAAATTACGATAAATTGCTTTTTCAAAATTTTCAATTGTCGTATTTTCAATAATCAATGTTACGCTACCGCGAAACGCATATGGCCACAGATGATTGATCCTCGTGTTATTCATTGGCGTTGATAGATGATTAAACCAGTTGGACTAAAATATATGTACAAAAAAGAAGAAAGAAACTTGTAATATCATAAAACGATAAAATACTCACACATGATTCATTATACGTTTGACTTTTATTATTTTTATATGCGTTTGTATCGATTATGAAACAATGATCTGAGCAAAGAAAAAAAACAAATAATGAAAATTTTAATTTTTATGTAACTATTTTATTTTATTTTATATTTACTTACTAAAATTTTCATTTTGAATTGATTTTGTTCGAATTTTATAACGTAATTTTATTGGATTGTTTGTTAATGATTCTAATTCGATTTTAATTTTCAAACTTTTAATTGAAAAACGTAAACCAATAAGAGATAATAATCCTTTGGATATTCTCAAAGATGAATTCAATAAAAAATATTCACTATGATTGACGTCTGAAAATAAAAAACAAAAAAAACATAAATGACTATAAATAAATATTCAATGGTCATTAAATGAGCAATAAATCGACTATATTAGAAATGCATTTTACTTCTCTTTCACTTTTAACTGTCTCGACAGATGGACAAAAGAGTATAATTATCGTTTTTTTTTCTTTCTGTTCCTTGTACGATTGATGAGAAGAGAAGTGAGAGTATTGACACGTTACTTTTTACTATTGAAACATCATGAATCGTAATGACAGGAGAAAGCGAGAAAAAGGGGGAAAGAGAGAGAGAGAGAGAGAAAAAGAATCTCCAACTCTAATACCTTTAATCAGAATACACGAAGTATCGTCATTAACTTAACATATGCAAACAAGAAAGAAAAAAACCAAAAAGTGCCGCTGGTATATACCCTTATGCACATGAGGATGTGTACTTTCTTTTCAACAACTCTAGATGGATCAATTGAAAGCCTTTTAAAAAAACCATGAACTGTATAGATTCTTCGTTAATCGAAAGAGAATATATAAAACGAAACAGAAAAAAACAAAGAGAAAATCTTGACATTTTCGTTAGTGAGTTTGATTGATAATAATCATAATTTTAATTGTTTCAAATCGTAATTATAAAAAATATTCTTTTCGTTATCAGATTATTCATTATATTCTTTTTTTGCAAAATAGAAATATTTTACATGTATAGCATAAATTTTAAAATAGAATAAATATTTTTTTATATCTTAAGTAGTTCATTCGAATAACAGAAATAGAAGAAACAAAGACACCTTGAAACAAAATGTATTTATTCTAGTGAAGTTCATATATAGACAATCTAATTGTATGAACAAACAATTTGGAGCAATATTGCATAGCTTATACTTATTTCAATCGAACATTATGTATTAATGCAGTTAGCAACACTGTTTTAGAAAGTAAATAAAGATAAATTTTCTTCGAATTATATAATTAAAAAATTTAAAACATATTCACGATTAGAATCAAAACAATCTATTTGAGCAAATGATTTTTCAAAAAAATTTGTTACACAATTAAATTAATTTTTTAGCAGAATGTATTTTACATTATACAATGAAGTGTGACATTTTCTAGTTCATCGTATAATTTAATACAATATATCCTTGTAAAATCTTACATCATTGATTTGTTCGGTTATTATGATAGTAGCTATAGGTATCTACAATGGACTAAAATAAAAATATAAGAAATTCAAAGAAAAGAATACAGAAATTTCATGATTATTTACAATACTTTGCTAGAATTCCTATAAATCAAAATAAACAATTAAAACTATACAGAAATAAGTTATAGATACAGTCATCATTTTTATGCTTTCTTTATCTTTCAATCTTATAATTAACTCTCTCAATGTCATAGGAGCAGTATTCATATCACTGTTTAGTTCATCTAAAGCATGCATGATCAATTTTTCTTATCTTGATATTCAGTTTATAATAGTTCTCTATTAAGGTCAATAATAGAACGATTCATTAAATTTCTAATATCCTTCACTTTCAAGGCTTAATTAAATCTGAAGGGGATTCACATTTTTATCTTTGATTCGAGTATTGTTTACTTTTATACATATGTCTTCTCTTCGTACATTATTAACTCTTTACCTCCCGTTGAACCATTTTTGACTCATACATAGAAATTAGCTACTTGAAGTAGTAATGCATCGGATCGAGATATTACGCGTGCATTGTGCATAGCCTTGAAGAAGCTACACATTTGAAAAAAAAGTAAACTTTTTTATTTTATTTATTTATGCAAAGTGATTATTGTAGTGTTTGCTCGATTGTTATATATATACTGCTACAGGTGTAATCTATTTCACAAAACTTCGTCTTAAAACTAACACTGAATATTTTCTTCCAAACGATATGTGAGTTACAGAAAAGTACAGCCTAGAATGAGTGTTCCTATGGTT